AAAAGAAAGGCTAAGCTAAAAGTCCTGCCATACGAAGAAGGAAAGCTACTAAAGAAAAGTCGAAAACTAAGCTTCAAAGTAGTCTGCTCTATTTCTTCTCTAATTCTGCCCTGCTACTGTGCGGCGGCCAAGGAAAAGAAGACTCCGCCCTCCCCGGTTCAGCAGTTGCCAAAAAAAGGGAAAAAGTTTTCCTTTTTCAAAAATGCCCCTGGGGATAAGCACGGTTACTTGGATTCCTTGTCCGTCAAATTGACATTTATTATCATATTTTCATTCTACTTCCTGAAATAAATACAAAATATTAAAAATGAGTAGAATCTAACAATTAATTCACATCGGATCAGATAATAGAGAGAATTAATAATAAAATAAATGATAAAATTGCAACCTATCATTATCCCACCCGCAAATTGCTCATATATTAGCACAAGTATTAAAACTTTTACTAAAAAATAATGACTTTTTATACAACGTCACTATCAAAATTTTCTATTACACTAGCATATAAAGATACACGCCACATGTAAATTGAATTTCAAATTTCAATAGAGATTATGTAGCATTCGTTTAAACATGTTGGTGTTATCAAATTTTCACACTGATAATATATAAAAAACAGTTTTCAAATAAACAATTAACATGCCTTTAATCAATTTGTATATTGAACAAAGAATAATTAAAATTTTAAGTTTGCGAGAGATCAAAGGTTAAAATGTTGGCTCAAATGTACAACAATTGGCTCCTCTCAAATATATTGTCTCTAGATAAGATTGGAATTTTATATTGAAAATAATTTTAGCAGCTTGGAGGTACTCTTTCCTAGTTTCATGGTCGCATCAATGTTTTAAAAACCGGACCGTTAATTGAACCGGTGAAGTGAAAGGGTCGAGGTTCAACCGGTCGGACCGGTTCAACCTCGGTTCAATGAATTTTTTTAAAAATAATTTATATAAATATATATGTACAAAATAAGACATGTAATGGACTAATTTAATATTTTATATGATGAAAAGTTTACTATTTTTTAATAACTTGGATTTTTAAAAATAATTTTTTTAAATTATAAGTTAAAACAAATAAATTTCATCTCAATTTCAATTATATCTAAATTCAACCCCAAAATATCACAATATTTTGAAATTATACAAAATTCATGTCTCTGAGAATTTAGATATTATGAATTTTAATTTTAATTTACGTTTTGGGATTTAGAGATTGCAATTTAAAAAGGAAAATTTGGAGTTCGAAGGAAATCAAGAAAATCGAAAATAGAAATGTAAACTTGATAAGAAACAAAAAATAAGATAAAAGTGAGTGGTTGTGGCATTAAATAATTTGGGTTAAAAAAAATTCTTTTTTAACTTTTTTCAATTTAATGGACAAAAACAAAATTAAAAGATGGAAGAAAACATCAATAAATTAAAAATAAAGAGGTTTGATTAAAAAGGGAGTGACAAAAGAAAAGAGGATAGAGAGAGAGAGAGAGAGTTGAAAATTAAAAAGAAAGAACCATGAGGGGATGAGATTTTGTAAGAAAAATGGAAAAAAGAAATATGAGTGTTTGTTTTATATAAATAAGTTATCAAAAAAAACTAATAAGATGTGATGGTGCAACGGTTAATACATTGGTCTTTTATTACAAAGGTCTTGGGTTCAAATCTTGATTGCTACATTTTGCAAAACTTAGAAAAAAAAAAAAAAAAAAAGAGGGAAAGCTAAAAACCGGAAAACCGCCGGTTCGATCCGGTTCGGCGGTTTTCACGGTTCAACCGGTCTTTGACCGGTTTTATAGCAAAGTCAACAATGTCATTGAACCGGACTGGTGCCATGGCCGGTTCGCGGTTCAACCGGTCGAACCGGCCGGTCCGGTCCGGTTTTCAAAACATTGGGTCGCATAAAACTTAATTGGTTAACCTGAATCTCCATTCACTGTTTTTTTTTTTTTTTGTTGTTTTGGTAATTAAAATATGAAACAACATTTTGTTAGGTCAATGAAATTTGACAAAACAAATAAATTTCGCCAATCCATTAAAATCAGTTATATTGATCATCTCCTACATTTAACTCTTAAGATCTTCTGTGTGTGTGTGTATCCATGGACCAACGAGTATAGACAATCAATTAGATGGAAGTATATTTTTAAGATGACATAGCACTATATGAACATCATAATAAATAAAGTTAATTTTGGTAGCAAAATGAGTTAAAAATTATGTTTTGTGTAATTTGAATTTTCTTGTAATGCTTCCAAGATATTAGAAGACTTTTCAGAAAGTAGAATAATTAAATTTTGGATTTTCTTTTCATTTCTAAAAGTCTCATTTTGCTTTATTCTTTATTGTGATATTCCTCTGTCTAAAATTAATTTTCATGGAAGCATTATGAGTATTCAAAAAATCAAAGAAAGACTATATATAGGAGTGCGCATAAAAGTGTGCGCGCTTTCTGTGAGAAATATAGGATGGATAAATCGATATGGTTTCTATCTTGCAAAAACGAGGTGTGGCATCTCCAAACTAGACAAAAATGTTTCTTTTTCTTCTGCAATGTTGTAGGAATGATGCTTTTTTATTTTTAAGTATGAAGTATAGTTAACCCAAATTAACAAGAGAACATGTTATACTAGTAATTAATCTGCTTTTTGAACATGCCCTTATAAAAGTTTTAAAGGTACATTACATATAACCCCTTGTGGTCTCATACATCATAACATGAGCCCTCTAATATTTCAAAATATACAATTCATCCCCTATTGTTTCATGTAGAAGAAAATTTGACACAGCATAGCCTCTAAAACGTCATTAGTTGAATACCAGTATTGACCTTATTTAAACATCAAATTGAACAATGGCATAAGGACCATCCTATGGGTGGCTTATGTGAATAAATGAAAAAAGTACAAGGGAGTTGAACGGATATTATGATTCCACATATTGCATCTTTGGAGAGATTCCATCGCCATCATAACCAATGGTGCTTTCTGTCTATTTTCTACTTTACATGGAACCACGGAGGAATATATGGATTGGACATTTTGAAACCTTAAAGAGATTATGTGGCAATACGCAAAATTACAAGGGGATTGTATGTAATTTAGCCAAAGAAATCACAGCAAAGGAATTGTTGTAAAATAATTAACAACTTTGAATTTGAATTAAGTGATTTTCCTAAGAAATGTAACTTGGAATCGAAAGTTGTATGCAAGCCTAGTGCGCCTCCAAAATCATTTGATTTTGGAGCTTTAGTTTGACAAGCAATGGAGGCAAATAGCAAATATTAAATTGCACTTATAAAACAAGAATAAATTTAGTGTTTTCTACAATTCAGTTAATAAGAATTTTTGTGATTAACTATGATTAGTTTTTCCTAAACTTTTTCACATTAATTCAATGGCTATATAGGAGATAATTTCTTTTCAACTAAGATAACCAGAAATGATTGAATCAGTCATCTACACCCTTCAACAAAGAGATTAAGACAAACAACATGGACATATTAAAATTAAATTAAATTTTTACGATTTGTAGGGATTAGATTTTCAAAAATTACTTTTCTTAGTAACTTCATTCCCCTCTCATCCCATACAATTTGGGTTCTATCACGTTATACCAATGGGGAAAGGCAAAACAATTTATGTAATCGGCTACTTTTCCATTCCTTCTAAGTCATTAATTTTTCAATTGAGTACTTGGCCTGTGTAGTTAGCTACATGTAAATGAATGTGTTGTGTACATGCTTGATGAGTTTCCACTACTATCAAATTGAAAAATGCATGCCTATGTATCGAGCAAAAAGCAAAAAGAGAATACCTCAATTTTTATTGAGCTACTTGAAGCTTATATTCAAATCCAGTTCTGATTGAAAAGATGGTTTCCTTCGAAAATGGCTTTCTTATGTTTCTTGCTGTGATTAATTAAGATACTTGCGAGCTCTGTGAAACAGAATGTTTTCCATCAAAATAACGAAATTTCTTCTCTAAAATAAAATATATAGCATTTAAATTTTCTTTTTGGAAAAATAGAAAAAATATTTTGATATCTCAAAAATGTAAATAATTCCAGACAAAAATCAAAAGAAAGGGATTTGAGCATTCGATTTTAGGATTTTGGGCCTTAGTATGTATATAGAAACAGTTCAAGAAATAAAATCTAAAAAATAATTAAAGTTTAGCATCGGATACGAACATGTCAATATGGCAATCGTCTTTCTTTCTGTTGACATCTACCTTTCGTCTTACAAAAAATTAATAGTTTTACAAATATTGGAACAAAATTTCTATACACAAACCAGCCCTATCACAAAACATAATTTGTTCCAATAAAAATGTTTATAAAAGGCAAAGGCAAGAAACAAGAACAATGTAAATTTACCAAACCAAAAGGTGAAAGTCAGGAGCAAGCTTGAGATTTCTTTTTTTTTTTTTTTTTTAAAAAGGTGAAAGAATCCTATATGAATAAGAATTTGAAACTATTTGTACGGGGTTGAAACTTCAACAAAACCTATATGAAACTAAATGAATCGATTGAACATTTGGATTTTCCAAAGCTTGACTATAGTTGAAGAAAATTAAGAGATGCTCATAAAATTCTTTTAACAAGGAATTACCTATGAGAAACAAAAACTAATTTATGCCTGAAAACAACTGTTAACACTTATCTTGAAATCAATTTTCCTACCCATAAAAGATTTGGCTCTCTTATATAAAGGAACTAATATTGCAAAATCAAATGTGTTTCAAATGTATGATGAAGGAATAGCGATAAAGATACATGATTTAGTTTACAATTTTGACACATAAACTACTAAAAGAATGAAGAAAGAAAATCTTTAAAATAAAGAATACCTCATTAGGGAAAATGTTTGTTTTATTTAACTTCAATATACAAGCCTCATTCTATTTTTTTTTTCACCGGGAAAAATGCATAAAGGTAAAATATGAACAAAGCAAGATACCGTACATTGTGCATCTCATCGGCAACTTGTTGAACTAAGGATACAAGAAAAACATGATACAACCAGTGTTGCATCAAAGAAAACAGAAATGCATGCATGACTGCTCCCACTGTAGTTAGAGATCATTCTTACAAATGCTCTTCCCTGAAGAATTTTCCTTGGCTTCAGAATTGTTGGGTATGTTCGGCAAACCATGGTAATCCTGATTGAGGACACTGTTTTGAATCAGGAATAGGAACAATAGGTCCAAGGAAAATGCGCCACAAGTCTAGTAAAATTGTAACAAGCATTGCAGCCCCCAAGGCATCAATGGCCACTCTGGGTAGGTCCCACGGATCGCCGGGTTTTTCATCAACCCTCAGAAACATTGGGAAGCTGACAATGAAATAAATTGCATAAAACAAGCTGCCAACTTTGTACATGGATGCTCGGTCCACAAACGTATAATAGGGAAAATTTGCAATAGCCACTGTCTCCAGATATGCAATGACATAAGCAAGAGCCAGAATCCAGCCAGCCTTAAAAGCCCATTGAATTGTCTCAGGCAACGCAGCAATTGCATGTTGTAGTCTACGAAGAGTAATGTTTGAAACAACATGGTAAAACAAGAAGCAGACGTGAGCAAGAAGGAAAGTTGTGTGAGGTACATCATTCATCCTCCATGATGGAAAGGTATACGATGCGCCCAAAACTTTGAAAAAGTAGTGAGTCCAAAAGTAATTTCCAACATAACTGAAAATCATTATCCAGAGATTAGCCTTTACCCAATAGCGATTGCTCCAAGAAACATTTCTATCAGCCTTTCCAACAAATAGAAGTGGTACTACGAACGTAGGAACTGCCGAAACAAGACCAATAAGCAGATACTCCCATTCTGTGAATGTCTCATATAACTTGTAAGGAACAACAATGCCAAGGCAAAGGGTCAACCAGAAAGGTGTATATAGAAGAAAGAATATTTCGCCCCATCGCTTACTTGGATTTTGAGCTAACCACATCATACAAGATCTATTAAACTATATTTTCGCCTTCAAAATCCACCTCAAAGGACTTTTGCAAGTACTGATCTGTTCAAAAAATGACTGAAGAGTGTTACAAGCCTCATTCTATTCGATAATATAATAGGACTTTTTTGTTGAAAAAATACATGTATTACAAAAGTATTCATTATTAAGTTACCATCTTAGCAAAAATCACTACCTATTCTCGAACACTAACGTCTTTTCTATGTATGATTACAAAATATGAAAAATTAATACTATCTGACGTGACCATAAAATGCCAGCTCTGCAAAGTTATTCACGATGCCATATATGGAAAAGACATAAAAATTGAGGCTATATGACAAATTATTAGTGACTAAAATCTTGAGTTATGACAAGGATCCTCATCTATTTCTTATATGTATAGACATTCATATTTCGTGTTCTAAATTTAAAAAGCTTTTGACTATATGTGCATATTTTTGCATCATTTAAAAATCTACTTGGTACAATAAAAATGTTAACAACTTCTCAAGAGAGGAATTGAATAACCTATTTTGCATGATTCAATTTTATCCTTCGTTTGAATATTTATGTGTATAATTTAATGAGTAAATCCTTCCTACATTGAGAATATATATACTATCACCATTTGATTCATGACATGTGTACAAAAGTTGAATTTCAAATTTAAATTTTGTATAGTTGTTATTCATCCAACGCTGATAGTGTATCCAATGTTAGTATAGGGAAGATTAATCATAATTTAATTATGTCTTTCAACATAGTACATTAAACTTACAAAGAATCATATTCACAACAAGCTATAGAGTATGCCTAACAAACATTTATTTTCACATCAATAATGATAAGGAATCATGTTCCAAGATAACATAAAACTTGGTAATGCGATGAAATACCTAAATACAAAGAAAAAAATTATAATTATTGCATCCTTGAACTGATACAACTAATAAACTAACAAGGAACTAAGTTACTAACAAGAAACTAAGTTTCTATTGTCGGCTACTATAAATTTAGTAAAAAAGTTACTTAATCAAAATCACCAAAAGAAATTGTCCAGCATATTCTAAATTTTTTGACTTTTTGCCTGCTACAAAATCTAAAATCTAAGTCCAAAAGAAAATGAAAACATAAAAAAAAAACCCTTCAGAAGAAGAAAAAAAAGTTGATTAAGCTATATTATGTTACTTTTTTATGCCATACATTAAATTGGGATTACATATATCCCACTTAATTATTATGGTCTTAGCTAGGCACATATTGAAGTTCCATTGAACCTCCTCAATCCACTTTTGCTAATGGTCGGTTTTTCCTAAAGTCAATTAGATTCATAAATAACAAAAAACAATACATTATACATTGAATGTGATTGAATAAATTATGCAAGCACAATTAATGGATAAAATCTAATTTTAAGAAAAAGAATGTGCGTATCACTAAATCTACAACAGACTCAATTATAATCTATAAAAGGTTCAAAATGCCATTAAAAGATTTTAATTCTTGAAATGAAATTATGTTTATGGCCTCTTATTATTTCTCTAATTATTGCACTCACTGATATCATTTTCTCCAAAATCCATATATCTTATATTAACTAAATATGATAGAAAGAAAAAGAAAAGTCTATGGTATACAATATTTTTTGGATATATGAAAACTTTTAGAAAGAAATTGCCACAATGTGCAAAGTCATTAATAGTCAACTACTTATTGATTTTGTTATATATCAGCACAAAATCAAGAATACAAAATTATCTTGTGCCATGAAATCCCCAATTTTCTCAAAAAGAGAAGCTTGCCTTAATTTTGTAACTACAGATGCTACCTAATAAAACAAAGGATTAATACTTATTCTGGAAATTTTGGTATCCAGCTATTTGTACGAAGCCCCAGAGGTCCTTTTTTTTTTTTTTGGACATCGTCACTTTATCTATACTATCCAACTCTAATCTAATTTAAGGGGATACCCAATTGAGTCTACGAGAAACCGATGAAAACTGAATCACAATCAAATCAGACGGATGCACTATGCACCCGTGAGTCTCTCTCCCATTGGATGCCTCTTTTCTCCTTCTTTTTCCTTGGTCTATCCAAACTAGCCCCTTATAAAGTCTACCGCAGCCTCACCCTTTGTTAACCAAAACCCTTATTCTCCCATGTCCTCTTCAGGAAAATAAAAACAAAGGACCAAAATAAAAAGATGGACTTCTTCATTTCTCATCTTTATAGACTTAGTTTTCCCTGGTCATACTTTTGTCTTATATCTCAAAATCCCTTTAAACTTTCACTAAACTCCTTCTAATCTTCCCAAACCCTCATAGTAACCGGATCAAACCCTGCCTTACATTTCCTTTCGCTTATCATCATTGTAAATTCTTGGATTAAGCTAATTTTCCTTTGATATATAAGTACATCTTTATCTTTATGATGTAGTAGCACATAGTGCTTGCACATAAATCAAGTGAGCCCTAGGTGAGCCTTTTTGCATGTATCTGACCAGCCAGCTGATATAGGAAAGACAACCAAAAATTCTAATTGGTGAAGGACAAGAATTGAGTAAGGATAGATTGGATTGATTTGAAGTCCGAAGTTCTGATTGGATTAGACCAATGAACTCCTTTCCCACATCTCACCCCCTTCACAAAATTTGATTAACTTGTACTTCTTCTTCATTTTTGTTAGAATTAGTTTTTTTTTTTTGGTGTTTTTTTGCTTGTGATATGTTTTTTCTAAAAACATCTTTGGACATGGTGTTCTTTTGGGGTATTTTTAAGTTTTAAGGTAGTTCTCTAAGTACTTTTGCTGCCCCCTTCCCAGCCAATTCACCCTATTGCGCTAGGCCCATTGCCTTCTTTTTTCTCTTACTACACCAAATTTAGTGATGATAAAGGAGAGGAGAAGGTTCATGACCGGTGATAAGGAATGCAAGGTAGGAGGAAAGGGCTGCGGGGAAGGATACGGGAGTTCCACTAACCATTTTATCTTTTCATATCTATGTTAGCTAGAGTCATTTATAGGAGTGACACCAACATGACTGCTCTAGTGCAAAATGAAGAGTTAGACATGAGAACAGCATAACAAATGAGAAGAGTCCAGATAACACAGCTTCAAATTTTAAACTGTAAAGAGGAATTTTGAAACGTCATATGTACATATTCAAATTATAAGAGTTTCGTTATAATTTCTCCTTTTGTTATGGGTGACGTAGTAATGAAAGGTTGAAAATAATTTTAAAAACCTATTAAAATTTCAAACCAAACTTAAGCACTATGTATACTCGATCAGGCTCACATAGTACACAGACACTACGTAGTCATAACTATACACCAACAACAAAGACTTGTACACTCCCTCAAAGTGTACCATAGCACAGCGCAAAAGTACCCCAAATCCAAACCACAATGTATTGCCATGTGATACCCTTAGTTGAATGATAACATGTCCTAAACTTGAAACCTAATGACCCACTTCCATCCTACAAATTCTTTCCAAACCTCGATAGTTGCATTATCTGATGCATGGAATAACAAGAAATAGAATTATTTCAAATTGCCCAACTCAACTGGTGGAGATATTAGTTAAGTGACCATAAAGTCCCAGATCCAATTCTTAAGTTCTCCCTTCTCCCCTCGCAGTTGAAAATCTTGGAATCTCACTTAAAAAATAAATAGTAAGTAGAATTAAGGGCTTATTTAATAATCCAATTCAACATTTAAATTTAATGGATTGGATCTTAATATATTCAGATGTTTTTGATAATAAAAAATTAAACATCTGAATTAATTAAGTAGCACTGAATTTTCTAGGCAAAACTTACTCTAAAAAATAAGTAATAAACTATTCACTTATCATTTAATATGGTATACATTCAAATATGCTAGATTTAGTACTTAACAATTCAATAACTTAATAAAAACAAATTTTAGTTTTTAATTTTCAGATTTCAGTTTTATCAAACGCACCCTAAGTACTTGAATGTCAAAATTAGTTTGTACATAATATTTGATTATTTAGTGTGAAAGAAACCTTAAACAAAAATGACGTCTCACCTACATCACGAAATAGATATCTATTAATAGAATATGTAATACATCTCATCTTGATTTAATAAAAATGATGTAATACTTTTTTATGCCATACATTAAATTGGGATTACATATATCCCACTTAATTATTATGGTCTTAGCTAGGCACATATTGAAGTTCCATTGAACCTCCTCAATCCACTTTTGCTAATGGTCGGTTTTTCCTAAAGTCAATTAGATTCATAAATAACAAAAAACAATACATTATACATTGAATGTGATTGAATAAATTATGCAAGCACAATTAATGGATAAAATCTAATTTTAAGAAAAAGAATGTGCGTATCACTAAATCTACAACAGACTCAATTATAATCTATAAAAGGTTCAAAATGCCATTAAAAGATTTTAATTCTTGAAATGAAATTATGTTTATGGCCTCTTATTATTTCTCTAATTATTGCACTCACCGATATCATTTTCTCCAAAATCCATATATCTTATATTAACTAAATATGATAGAAAGAAAAAGAAAAGTCTATGGTATAAAATATTTTTTGGATATATGAAAAATTTTAGAAAGAAATTGCCACAATGTGCAAAGTCATTAATAGTCAACTACTTATTGATTTTGTTATATATCAGCACAAAATCAAGAATACAAAATTATCTTGTGCCATGAAATCTCCAATTTTCTCAAAAAGAGAAGCTTGCCTTAATTTTGTAACTACAGATGCTACCTAATAAAACAAAGGATTAATACTTATTCTGGAAATTTTGGTATCCAACTATTTGTACCAAGCCCCAGAGGTCCCTTTCAGATTTGAATTTTATCAAACGCACCCTAAGTACTTGAATGTCAAAATTAGTTTGTACATAATATTTGATTATTTGGTGTGAAAGAAACCTTAAACAAAAATGACGTCTCACCTACATCACGAAATAGATATCTATTAATAGAATATGTAATACATCTCATCTTGATTTAAAACCCTTTCAACTATTCAAATTAACTAGACGAAGCTAATCATAAAGCACAAAAGAACAAAAGACTCGGTCTTGTTTTCTAAGC